TTATATATTCACGGTGAACTTGAAAACGTTGATGTTGTTAACGTATTTAGTAATGAATGCAACAGTAATAGTATTCATTTATTTTATTTTACATATATTATTTTTTACATCAATTTTAAAAAAAATATTTTTTTACCTAGGCATCAATGACTACAAAGAGATAATGAAAATAAGTTCATGGCATGATGGTGGTACTGTTAACATAGACAATGAACCACTAAAACATTACCCAAATAAGATTAGTATCTTTTTTAATTGAATTGACCTCTCGTGGCATATACATCTAATTTCATTTTAATTCATCACATTTTTAAGAAATCAAGACGAAATTAAGCAAAATTTCATTGCCTAGTCTTTTAAGAAATTTAACAAACAGTTAGGCACTATCTTTTTTGTTGCTAATTTCATTATTTACCTTTTAAAACATATGCAGTGACTAACTAAAAACATTATCTAACTTATAAACAGCACATACATGTAGCAATGAGATAGATCTAGGTTTGAGTGGAATTAAGCGACTATTAAGGGAGAATGATGAGAACAGCCGCTACGACCAATTGTAGAGGCAATGTTGGAGCAGTTGGGAGAAGAAATTTTACGGCCATCTAAGGTAGATTCTTAAAAATGAAGGTTGCAGTGGAGAAGAATACTGGGGTAATGGTGGTGAGAAGGCATCGACTGGTTGTTAAGGTACATCGATATGGATAGATACACGAGACAAAGAGACGATTTTTAGATAAAGAATAGCTTGGATGGAGGTCGACGTCTTCGTGGAGGCATATTCGGTGATGGTGGTGTGTTTTTGATGAATTCAACACAAGGGGCGTAGCCAATATAGGGCAAGAGTGGGTCTTGGCCCACCCACACAAAATTAAGGATATATATATATATATATATATATATATATATATATATATATATATAATATATATATATATATATATATATAATATTTGTTAAATAAAAGAAATTAAGATTGTGGTATGGCCTATTCCATTCAAAACTTGAAATTATTAGAATAGAATACATTGTTGTCTATGTCGATTAGACTCCATTTTAAATTATTTTAATAATGTAAGACAACATCGTGTGCAACTTAAAATAAACAATTTAGTTAAGAATGCATATATAGTTACATTTTGTTATCGTTTGAATAATTTTGTCGCTCGTTAATATTTTTTATATTATTTGGCCTACCTTAAAACAAAATCCTGACTACGCCATTGAATTAACATTTTCATAGGTTTATGGACGGCAGACGTGATATAATGGTTATTCATCCATGATTTAAGGGATTTAATTTTGGTTGTTATTCAATTATATGTAATATTACTTTTCTATCATTTATTGATTATTTAATTATTTATTTTTTCTAAAATTTGATTGGTTCCTACGACCACACAATAGTTGTATATCCAGATTTGAACCTAGCTATATATATCTCTCTCTCTCTCTCTCTCTCTATATATATATATATATATATATATATATATATATATATATATATATATATGTTATCTCTTGTTGTATGAGGAAGAAAAAGAAAGAAATGGTGTTTAAAGTAGACTTTGAAAAAACTTATGATGCGTTGAGATGAGACTTTCTTGATGATGTTCTTTGTCGTATGGGTTTTAATTAGCTCTATTTGGAGGGGTTGGATCCAATCTTGCCTTACTTCTTCTAGGGTTTCATTTCTTGTGAATGGGTCGGCGATGGATGAGTTCTAGATTTTTCGAGGTCTCAGACAGATAGGGTGATCCTTTGTCTCATTTTCTCTTCATATTGGCGATACGAAGCTTGCACCTGTTTTTTCTTAGAGTAATTGATCGAGGACTTTTCTCCGATATCTCTCTCGATTCAAACACTAATCTATGTATTTCTCATCTTTTTTCGCGGATGATGGTGTTTTTATGGATGAATGGAAGGAGTTAAATGTTCACTCCATTGTTTAAGTTCTCCACCGTTTCTTTTTAGCCCCGGGCTTGAAAATTAATCTTTCTAAGAGCTCTCTTCTTGATATTTGAGTTCCCTCTACGCAGATTTCCCATTTGTTGAACCATTTGTTCCCATATATTGGTTCAGTTGTAGGTGGTTTGATGAACCATGTTTCAGCTTGGAAAGACGTGGTGGGAAAGGTTATGGTCAGACTTTCTAAATGGAAAGTTAAGACTTAATCGGTTGGTAGGAGATTAACGTTATTCAAGTCAGTCTTGGGTTCTTTCTACTTTTTTCATGTTTTTTATTTAAATCTCCTATGGAGGTCTTGCAGGGTCTCGAAGCTTTGCGTAATAGAGTTTTTCTTGGCGCGGAGATGGAGTAGAAGAAAAAACTTATTTGGATTACTTGGAAGATAGTGTTAGTGCATAAAAATAATGGGGGTTTAGGGGTGTGCAATTCTTTTTTGTCCTAAATCGTGCTCTTTTATTCAAGTGGGTGTAGCGGTTTCTTTATAGCCATGATGCCCTTTAGGTGAAAGTTGTTAAGGCGATTCATTAGGAAAAAGCTTTGATTGGGTGTTCTTTGCCAACTGGTAGTTCTTCTCTTTGGATTGATATCCTTAAAGTGACTTCTCAGTTGTTTATGAAAGGATTAGATTTGTTTCACTTTTGCAAAAAGAAGGTTGTACGCGTTATTTCTTGAAAAGTGGAGCAACATTTGTTATTATCGAGTTAGGGTTGATGCTGATGACGAAGAGGTTGAACCATGGACAAGTACTTGTATTAGATAACTATTATCATTTTTGTTGAACTTGTATTGGATATTTTTTTTATATTATTGTTTACTATCATTGTGGTTGAAGTGCATTTAGTTTTTATTTATTGTATTCTTCTGTAAAACAAATTTGCAAACAAAAAAGAACAAAAAAAAACATGTGACCAAAGGTGGTTTATGCTCACGATTTAATTTGTTAGATGTGACTAAAAGTAAATAGTATGTATGGTAAAACACAATACTTGTGACTATAAGTATATAAGTGTCACAAATTAATTTATTATGAGTGACTAAAATTAAATAATAGTCGTGAGAAATGAATCAACCTATGGGTAAAAGTAACTTATGGTCACGGTTTATGCAGTCAATAACGACTCTATAACGGTAATATAGTGGCGCTATAGCGTTTAACAGAGGTAAAGAACCGCATTTTCAAAATAGCGGTGACGCTATTAACACTACGATTTATACTGTGATTATGGTCACCGCTATAGTGGCGTTATAACCGCTATTTGAATAAATTTCATTTTTGGGCTTTTTTACATTAAAAAACATTTTTTTATGTCATTCAATTGAATAAAATTATTTTTTCTTATCCCAAACCAAAACTTTTATGCAATTCCATTAAATAAGATTTTGATTCCGTATGACTTCCATTGAAACCATGCATATGTTGTCTTGCTAATTGTGTTGAAGACTTGAAGTACTACAATATGATTAACTCAAATTTTTTAATCATTTTATTTGCTAACTGTAATTATGTTTAAGTATGGTAGAATGCTAAGTATTGTTTATGTTTTGTTGTTGATTGTGTTAAAATATGATTAACTGTGACATTGGTAACCGTCATGTGAAGTATGATTAACTAATTATGATATGTGAAGTGTGATTTATTGATTAACTAATTAATTGGATAGAGCTGAACTTTGAAGTATGATTTACTGCTAAATTCTCTAATATATATAAATTCTACATAGTATAAAAAACACTATATCACAGATATACCATTGCGAGAACCGTGATTTCAATTAGCGGCCGGTGACCGCTATTATATTTTTGACCGTGATAACTGCATATGTCACAATTTAATTTATTTTGTGTGACTTCAAGTAATCAGTCGTCATAATAAAAGACAAAACATGTGTCACTAAAAGTCAGTAATAGTAACGAAAAACAAAAAAATATGTGACTAAAAGTCAGCAATAATCATGACAAATGAAAAAAGCGTGTGACTAAAAATTAACAATATTCATGATAAAAAAAATGTGTCACTAAATGTTAGCAATAGTCATGAAAACAAAATAATATGTGATGAAAAAAATAGTTTATCAAAAAACTGATTGAAAAAAATACAAAAATTGTTACCATATTATGACGGGTTTACCTATAATAAAGCTTTTTTAATGGATTATAATCACCACAATAAAACATGGCCATAACATATTAAATATGACATACCCTTTCTTTCCTTACGCGCTGAATGGAAAAAAAAAATATCCGTCATAAAATGTCTATAATCACAAACTTTTTACATCAACGGAAGCTTTTTTTTGTACTAATGGAAAGAAAGACGTGGTGAAGTAGCCGTGCATGGGAGGTCACCGCAACTCTTCGCACCCGGTCGGTATGGTGTTCATTGCACACCGCAGTGTCAAACTAAGCCCGACCACCACGGTGTTCGATGGTGGTATACACTGTTGAGCCTTAGAGGAATATTCTTCTTTTTGTTATCTTGAAAAAAGTCATATGATAGCTTTGTTAAAAGTAAACGAATTTTAAATTGGTCAAAAAAAATTATTTATTGATTTTTTTGTTAATATCTCAAGAAAATATCATCTAAACAAGTGTGATACATCATCAAAAAAAAAAACCCCGACTTCACTTTAAGCTACACAGTCGTTGCAATTAGCAATGCAATATAAGCGGTGGAAATTTTTTATATATAAAGATTTTTAGTAAATTATGAAGAACACGCATACATTTTTTCGTAATTTAAGTTTATGCCCGGCCATAAATGATAACATAACTTCCAATGTAGAACAAGAGTAGCATCGTCTACTTCCTCAAGATGCAACCTAAAAGACCACCTCGAATATAAAGATGACCCATTCTACACTACAATGAGCTGATTTATATTCTTTCCTTTCTACAACCAAAAGACTACTGGCATCCCTTTGATCTCCGGCCACCTTATTCTTGTTTTTCATATAAAGAAACCCCACACCACCGATGGCTTCTGTTCATCATCTTCACCAAAAACCTCCGATCAATCACTCGTTGAAGAGGCGATGAATAGTACTCCACACCAGCAAATCCCAATTCACTACACCCCTGATGACCGCCTTAACCGCCCCCTTCCTAACGATGGCCGTCAGTTAAGGCGGCATCACACTGCTCGGTATTATGTGCACCGTGTCAAAGAAAGTCTAACCACTCGTGTATCAAAGCTAATATGCTCTGTTTTTCTTAGCCTTCTGTTCATCGTAGGCCTGATAACATTCATCTTATGGCTCAGTTTACGCCCACATCGTCCAAGATTTCATATCCGTGAATTCTCCATCCCCAGTTTAGCACAAGGTAATGGTTTTGCAGCTACCATAGCAACCTACAATGTGACAGTACGAAACGCTAATCTGAATATAGGGATTTACTACGATACAATGCACCTAACATTGTACTATCAGAATAATCTGAACATTGGCGAAAAGCCAGTATTGTTTCCGTTTTATCAATCACCCAAGAACACGACGATTCTTTACGGTGACCTACAGGGGTCTACGTTCCAGATAGATGAGGCACGTTGGGCACAGTTCATAGCTGATCGAAATCGTGGGAGTGTTTCTTTTCGGCTGGAGGTTGCTTCATCCATCAGGTTTAAGGTGGCCACCTGGGAAAGCAAGAACCACAAGATGCATGCGACTTGTCAAATCAAAGTGGGACCCGATGGGTTGCTTATTATAGGAAGTGAGAAAGAAATGAAATGCCCGGTTTATTTCACTTAGAAAATAATACCCTATCGTTCAATTTTCTTTCTTATCATTTAATTTGAAAATTTTAATTTAATTATTTGTAAAAATTGTTATTCGTGTCATTGTAATTAGTCTTGGGGTTTTGTGTCTACAACTACAAGGATCAGCGGATTGCATGAAAAGATTTTTTTTTATAGAAAATCAAAATATTACCGACCAAGAAATTTAAAAAGTTACATTTTTTTTTAGAACTGTAGATGATATTATTATTATTAAAAGCAATGCAACTATCAAGGTAATAAAGCAAATTACAAAATATTAGTACAAACAATGAAAGCATTATTAAGAAGAGAATAACATCATATATTCCAATTGAGACTATTTCCAATTGAGACTATTAAGATTAAAAAGGTTACATAAGAAAATAAGCCAAATGGAAGCGCACCGGCTGCTGGTACAAACATTTAAAAAATGCTCCACCTGGTTTTCCAAATTTGCATGTATATCATCCCAATTTCTTATTTTGTTTTGGGATATATACAGCAAAGTCCCAATATTTTCATCGATTTGACAAGGAAGTCTTAAACTTTATTTTTTTGACAGTAAAGTCCAAATTACCGGCAGTTTTTGACACTTTTACACTATTTTTCCGGTTAACCGGTAATTAGGAATTTTTTGTCAAAAAAATAACGTTTAAGACTTTCTTGTCAAATCGTCAATTAGGACTTTATTGTCAAAAAAATAAAGTTTAAGAAATTTTTGTCAAATCGTTGAAAGTATTGGGACTTTAGTGTATTCTCGTAACCCAATAACTTTTAATTGTGACTTTTGTTACAGCACCACTGTTTTTCTTACAATCATCATCTTTACCCTGACACAATCACGATCAGGAGAAACATATGCAAAAGAGAGAGCGAGAAAGGGTGAAAAGACTTCTAAAACTTTCTTCTTGTTTCGCTACCAAATCTTGAATTAAAAAGTGGGGACAGATTATACAAATACAAACAACACATGCCTAGTAAAAAAGATGTGAATGTGGAGAAGGGAAAGAAGGGAAATTTCGTTTTTTTTTCGGTTTTTTATTTCTCTTTTTTTGGGACTGCAAAAAGGCAACACAACCTTGGTTCTTTCTTTCTTTCTTTCTTGATTATCTCCATATGTTTCAATGTCGGTTTGTTGAGAATAAAAAAATGATTTAACAAGAAGTAAACGTTAAATATTTCAATAGGATCTATCTGACTAGAGAAGGTTTCAATAACTCTTATGCTTAAAGAGTATCATACTATTAAATTTCTAACCAAAAAAATGGATATATACACTAAAGTCCCAATATTTTCAATGATTTCACAAGAAAGTCCTAAACTTTATTTTTTTTACAGTAAAGTCCTAATTGACGATTTCACAAGAAAGTCCTAAACTTTATTTTTGTAACAAAAAAATCCTAATTACCGGCTAACCGGAAAAAAGGGTAAAAGTGTCATAAAGTGCCGGTAATTTGGACTTTACTGTCAAAAAAATAAAGTTTAAGACTTTCTTGTCAAATCGATGAAAATATTGGGACTTTACTGTATATATCCCTTTTGTTTTTGTGGTTTTTATTAATTTTTACGTTGTTATATTAAATTTTTATGTGGTTGGTTTCTAATCTATATATAAGAATTTTTGTATATTTTTTATTATCTTTTATCTTTTGATTAATTGTATTTAAATTTAATATTATATTATAAGGCCACCACCATACTCACCGCATCCCATTCCACCCAATTTCACTCCACCCGGTCCTTCTTCCATCACTAATCCACCACCCACCAACTAACTTATAAATTACAATTTATTTATCATCCTTCAATATCGGCGACTTCAACTTTTCCAACAACGTTTTGATCAACTACCCATTGCAACTAACTAACCACAACTGCCATCAAGTTCTCAAATCATAATATATAATATCGAATCCAGAAAAGAGTCATAGCTGATGACAAATCAAACCTAAAAAATCAAATAAAAATACTCAAACCCAAAAAAATTAAACGCAAATCAAAACCAGAAAATCAAACAAACAAGAATCAAACTTAGAAAAAACCTTAGCACTAGCACTGATGCCAAATCAAACCTAGAAACTCAAACCAAATCAAACCCATAAAATAAAATGAAAATCAAACCATATACAAACTCATAATACAAGGATTGATCAGAGCATTCGCTTTTAGCATGTGGTTTACTTAAAGTCAAGGCCCAAGGTCGAAAAAAGAAGGTATTATATGTTGACTTGAAGCCATGGGGAACATAAATGTAACATCCCAAAATTATGAGGTAAAAATTTCATTTTTAATTCAACCAAAACATTAATTATCTTCAAGTCAACATTCAATATCATTTTTCTAAATATTCAAAAGTACTTCATAAGAAAACGGTTATCAGAGTACAATCCCAAAATCATCATAATGCGGAAACATGGGTGGATGTGATGCGATCAAGTCGGACCTTTCCCTTTCGAACCGGAAATACTTGAAACCATAACGATAAAAACCGTAAGCGCAAAGCTTAGTGAGTTCCCCAAAATATCCCATACCATACATAATAGTCACATACTGGGCCCCCGCCCTTCATCGGGCCTCGCCCAACATCGGGTCCCGTCCGACATCGGACACCACCCGACATCGAGCCCCGCTCAGTATACTGATTTATCAATCATCAGGCTCTGCCTGTCATCGAGCCCCGCCCGATACACATATAAACATATCAACATATAATTATACGGGCAACATGTGATAATCACAAAGACAATAGCATACAATACACTCATCGAGCCCTGCCCGACATCGGGCCTTGCTCGGTAAGCATTCCATCACATAACACGTGCAAGTCACGCAGACATCTAACATCCTAACATAATAAACCATGGATTAGCATTGGTGCCTTCGACCCGCTAAACACAGTGAGGAAACTCACCTCGATCCGTTGATAATCAAATGATTGCTTGGGCCGCTAAACCGGATAACCTCGCGCCAACTAACATTAAATACAAAACTTAATCAATAATTATCCTAACACCCAAAAACTGAGCCCCGCTCCATAAACCAATTTCCTAATGGGTAAAAGACCATTTTACCCTTTACTTACTTGGCCCAAAACCAAGGCCCAACCCAATTGCACAAAAAGCCCAAAATGGCAACCCAAAGCCCAATATGGAAACCCAAAGCCCAATTTGGCCCAACTTCCTAAATGGGCCCAAAAACTATCATGGGACCAATTCTAAGAAGTCCCATAGCCAAACCATGGCCTAAAATCAAAAGTCCAATGACTGAACAAGACCCAAACCTTAAAAGGCTCAAAATGACCATTCTGGGGAGTACGTCATGCGTACCAGAGATGTATGCCCCACGTACTCATTAATGAAGCACAAGGTACAATCGAATAATGCACGAAACACCCATTATGTTCAGCGTACTCCTACGTACGCCCAACGTACCCATCAGAGACCAAAATCCATATTAAGCTCTTAATGGTTAAGAAAATGACTTCAAAACTTAGATATGACCCTAATGAGATGTCTTAACACATAAAGTTGGCAAATTTAATCCTTTTCATGGCTTAATGGGACCAAAACCTTAATAAAATCCATAGAAAACACTCAAATTCTTGCATGGTCCACAATAATTCATCAATATGATATTTTTATGAACAAGGGACATCCCAAATGCCAAGATCCAACATTCGAAGCTCTTGGAGTAGCTCATACTCACAAGGATGAGTCTAAGGACCAAAATGAACCCAAAATACTCCTTGAACTAGATCTAAGACATAGAGTCATCAAGATAGAAACTTTATACCTTAAAAAGATAGATCAAGATGCAACAAGCCTGGATCCAAAGCCATCAAGCAATCCCACACTTCTCTAGGAAGTTCTCTCTTCTTCTATGAACACCAAAAAGCGTGAAATACCACCAAAAGCTCAAAAACCACTCAAATGGAGGCTAGACTTTCGTTTCCAGGTGTTATAGGGGTGGAGGCTGAAGATAATAGGGTTTGGTGGTGAGTTAAGGAGCTCAAATAGGGTCCAAGACCCTAAATTAGGGTTTGGGTCTGACTGGAGTACGCCATGCGTAATTCTGGTACGCCTAGGGTACTCCAAAGAACACCCGCGATGCATCTTCTTAGTACGCCTAGCGTACACCTACGTATGCCCCGCGTGCTGGACTTAACACTAGTACGCCCAACGTACAGTTATGTACGCCTCGTGTACTAGGTTTAACCCTATAACCGCCTATCTTCCAAAAGGCATAACTTCTCTATTATAAGTCCGATTCCGACAATCCTAGTATCCACGGAAAGGTAATGAGAACCTCTACGTTTTTATCAAGTCATTCTTTTCGTAAAACTTCCCGAACAAAATTCCAATGTTCATAAATGCTCGAACTGACACTTTACCGATATACCCCTTGGCTCCAAAACACAAACTGAACTCCCGGATCACCTAAATTACATTACCCACACCCCAATAGGTCTAAATCTCTCTTTTTACAAAGGTCCTAAGGCTTATGATACCCAATCTTTGGGTAACTGCTCTGCATTAGAAAATGATTTGTAACAGGGCGTTACAAGAAATAAGCATTTTTGTAAGTTTTGTTCTTGAAACACGATCAATATACGTGCAATTTCATCGATTTTAGTGTGTCAAAATGAAATCTCCAAGGACCATCACAACCCATCTCTTTAATAATGGTCATACTCTCACTCTCACACACGTATTCAAACACGTGTATAAATAGTTACACTTAAAATGTATACCTGGTCTTACACATGTAATTAGGATTCAGTTGTAGTTTCTTTTATATATACCTCCCTGTGTAATTGTACAATACACAGTGAAATACAAAAGCTCTTCTCAATATATCTTCGCCTTTACTCTTCCATCCTTTAATTAATCATTGAATGTAATGTTGTTATAGATTAGAGCATTCCCTTTTGCATATGTTGTTATAAAATTGATCCATGGAAATGATGAAGCCGCTGGTCATGGAAGGGTGGTT